AACATTTCCGTCTTTGCATACTTTAGTCATGTCCCCTTTCTTCCGACGAAACACCTTCGAACGTAGCAGATCTGTTTTCTTATTTCAATGTCAATATAGAGTCCTACTGTGGTTTTTTTTCTTTGAAATAATGTATATCATTTTTCTTGGGGAGCCGCGGAGCCCCTTGTAACGGTTGAAAACAGTGGTCCGCAGATAAATACAGAAAAAAATGTATGTATAGAATTCTACAACACTCGCGAGAAAGCAATTGGATAACTTTTCAAGTTTTTTTTTAATGCGCATGCTAATACGTATTACCAATACAGATATAGAGGAGTACGCAATGAATTTGCACGCGGAATTGTATAAACGTCAATCTGAGATTCTGAGTCAACGTGCTAGCTTACCGTATATATAGAGCTTTCCGTAAATGGACTTCAAAAAACTGGCCACATTTGTTTCAGGTCCGACAGAAATGTTAACTCTGTAAAGTAAATAATTTCAATGAAAATCATGCACCATATGCTAACTAGGAATTACAGCAGTTCGTTATTGATAGTTCCCTTTCTCATTTTTGTCGACTTCGACTGCAAGCTGCAAACTGTTTTTTGTTTTGTTTTAGCAAATTTCGACTTGATTCTGAAATAAGTACTGTACAGTATTTGGGAGTGACAAGATCACAAGACAGGCTTATTCAGACATTTTTAAAGGAATGGACAAACTCTAGGTATGACCAATGTCAAGAGATTTTATTGCGTTCATTACCTGTGCGTCAAGTATAGAGTTTTTGCACACATTTCTTGGTGAAAATGTGGGCCGTGATTGCCTTGAGATTGAGATTTTTCAAAACTACTTAGGCTTACCTATTCTTCGCCAATGATTTCTTCAGCATCGGAAACTTAATGTTCCGAGCCGACGTGAACAAAATTAAACATGGTGAACATTCTTGCATTATTCAAGTAAAAAATTTCCTTGGAGAAAATATATTTTGTTTAACAACTTCGAAAATTTGTAGGAATTTCTTCTTATTTCAGCTGTTTATTTTGTGAAAATTGGAGAGGCAGATTCTAAATGACTACGGTATTAACGTATTACTAATTATAAAGTGGAAACAGTAGAACACAAAATAGCTATAAAATAGTGAGATATCCCTTTCATTTGAATTCACGTATACTTTTAAATTTTCTATAGTGTTACTTGGACGGAATTGATGTATATCAGTTCATTTATTGATGGGGCACCTTGTATTTCCTCCAGGATTTGCACTTCCTCCGATTTTACCCACGAGATTTCCTAAATGATGGTCTTTCACTGTTCAACATTATCCCAAACGGTCATATTTTCTATTTGATAATTATGATTCTCCATGTAGTACGTACAGTATATCATTGAAACAGAAGTTGAAGTATAACATACTGATGAGGCCTCATGCTGCTATATTGATTCATTTCCGTCTCGCTCTTCGTAAATCTGAAGTATTCCTAAACTTGAATTTAAAAGATTATTCCGCTTTTTCGAATATTGTTGGAATTTTCTGCCCAACTATGCCTGCATTAGGCAGCATATGCATATGGCACACAATGCGATGTGCGAGATATTAAAAGTATATGATCCTGTATAATCAGCATACTTATCTTCGCATTTCATATCAGAATGAGAAATTCATCGCTGATTCTGAAAACAGTTTCTACGTAGATTCAAAATTGTTAGTTCCGTAGAATAAATCCTATGGAATACCGTTCCCAATTAGGGAATGCCATAACGAAGGCGTCGGGGATAGACCACATTCACGTCGATGTTGCCTACCCGAACAAGCAGGACGCATCCTGAATTGAATTATTTCTTGATTGACAACCCGGTGAAGGCGGAGGAAGTCGAAACAAAGCACGGAAGACAGTCTTGATGGTCTTTCACTGTTCAACATTATCCCAAACGGTCATATTTTCTATTTGATAATTATGATTCTCCATGTAGTACGTACAGTATATCATTGAAACAGAAGTTGAAGTATAACATACTGATGAGGCTTCATGCTGCTATATTGATTCGTTTCCGTCTCGCTCTTCGTAAATCTGAAGTATTCCTAAACTTGAATTTGAAGCATTATTCCGCTTTTTCGAATATTGTTGGAATTTTCTGCCCAACTATGCCTGAATTAGGCAGCATATGCATATGGCACACAATGCGATGTGCGAGATATTAAAAGTATATGATCCTGTATAATCAGCATACTTATCTTCGCATTTCATATCAGAATGAGAAATTCATCGCTGATTCTGATAACAGTTTCTACGTGGATTCAAAATTGTTAGTTCCGTAGAATAAATCCTATGGAATACCGTTCCCAATTAGGGAATACCATAACGAAGGCGTTGGGGATAGACCACATTCACGTCGATGTTGCCTACCCGAACAAGCAGGACGCATCCTGAATTGAATTATTTCTTGATTGACAACCCGGTGAAGGCGGAGGAAGTCGAAACAAAGCACGGAAGACAGTCTAGCCTTGGGGTGGGCTGGTATAACAACAGTAAAAATCACTCGCAGGGTGGGTCATCATTCCAAGGATCTCTCCCGCGGAGGTTTCTATCCCGTACGACTCCCACCACCAGCTGCTATACTTGCTACTCTTGTGGGTAACGCATAATCCTGCGCCCAGAAACATCACGTATTTAGTCGGTTACGTCGCAAAAGTTTTGCATAGATCTCTGAATAAAATCTGGGCCACGGCATGAGCAAGTGCTGTGTCGAGAACTCTATTCAAGCATGACTCTTCATCGACTTGTGGCTCGAATTGAACGTTATGTTTCAAAAGCATCAGTTGGCTGCTTTGCGCACGTCGGAAGATCGTCGAAGTCCGTCCACGTTCGAAATCACATAACATAGAAAGAGCCTTTTCGAAGCTGGCAATAGTTTCTGCGTTAATTGTTCAAAGTGCATTTATATTTCCTAGGTCCACTTGATAATTTGGGAAGCTATAATTTTGATAGAAAAGATTGTTCTTAATTATTCTCATATTTCAGTTTTTTAGCCTTACTAGCCTAACAGAAATGTCTTCATGAATCCATGTAGTGTATCACATGTGTCGCATCGCGTAGCCAAACTTAATGTCCTTTCGTTTATTTTACATCTCTGTGTGTCTCTTCCGTAAATCTACCGAAAATCCTTGCATACCCCTTGATGCACAGGATGGTATCATGACATCAAACTGCATTGTAATTTTAATCTCTACGCACTGTTACACTTTTTTATGAAATCGGATCGGTAATATACGTCAAGTCCCGTGATCAAGCTCAACTCAAATATTTCTTGGAAAGAAGGGGAACATAAATGACAATAACCTTTTAGAACAGAATTCTGATTCTTTTTTTTTTATACAACCGTTCCAAGCAAATAATTACAGTATTGTATCCCCAAAATCTTCCTCTGGCAATTTGTAGACTTAACAAATAAACGATGGGGAAACCTAGAGGGAATTAAAACAGGCATTCGAGGAACACAGAAGAGATGACCACATTGAGACCAAAGAACGTAGATTTTATGGTTGCCAGCTCATGTGTACAGTACTTAATTGATTGCCGGTTAGTTTAAAATTACATAAGCTGCTTCAGGGCAAGCTGATGGTGTATTTACAATTTGAGCGTTCCAATAAGTGCGGAGTAATGCTTTCAAAAATTGAAAAAATTAATTTGACTTCTTATTGATTATTTTGACCCCCAAAAAGTCAAATACTCAAGTGCAACAATACGCTTGCTTATTCATTCATCACTATTATAAGGAATGGACGTTCGAAATTTTCCAATGAGTATTTGAATTACCGAGAAACTCTTTACCAAAAAAATATGACAGAAATGCCAAGACAAATATTTTCAAGGAACTAAGATTCCCGGCAGAAGCAAGAAGATGACAAAGCATACTTTTCATTTGAAAATGAAGTTGGCAACCACATTTCCCTGAGCAACTAAAATTATTGTATGGACAATCGCTTTGGCGCCGTCTGCTGTTCAAGGCAGGCCGCGTTCACTGCATGCAACACAAGAAATTGATGGCAGTTTGGGAGTTCTTTAAGAGTACAGTCCATTCTGTGAGGCGTCTATGGGCTTTCTTGGTACCTCTGTATTCTCTCCCGCCCCTCTTCCTTTTCCCATTTTAAGAGCTTTGGGAGCTGGAAGAAACTGTCATTAAAGCTTAATGGTAGATGGAAGAAAAAGTCGAATCCAATTCTGCAGTACAGTACAGTACTACATTTTCGATGACTGCTTGGGTGTCGGAATGCGGCGGCATCTGCTTCTCAAGAACAGTATATGAGGTAAAACATTAAAATGAATGGTCCAGCAGATGAAGTGGCGAGAGTTACAGTGACATCTATACAAAGAAACATATACTTTATCATGCGACCTTCCACTGGTCTTCCTGCGAAGCGTTCCATACGTCGTAACTTCCAATATTTGAAATATCGTACTGCACTTCATCACCATGAGCTTCCGTCGCTGCAAATGCGTTTGAGACAATACTGTTCGTGATAATACTGCACCATATTTTCTTCGCCGATGTTTTAGTTTCGATTTTCGTGCTGTTTATTGACAGGCACTACCTGTTACATGCACAATGCAGCAGCCTGGTTCATATTTTCAAGATTTGCAAATACTGTACGGTACTGTGCTATCTGTGCATGGACTGATTTATGATTCATCAGCGTATTCTTTCTCGACAAGATTAAATTCAGAATCATACATGCAAATACAGTAGTACCAAATTTGGATACAGTATTTGTAATGCAATGTGTCTATTCACAGATAAGCGAAAAGAGCAGATAAGATTTTTGGAAGACTCTTCGTCAGATAAAGCCAGCTTGATCCGCTGGCAAGGGCTGCATCTGCGGCACAAAGCGAGCGGCACATTTGTTGGAACTCGGAACGTTTTTCATCTTTTTGTGACAGCCTTCGTACAACGCCGCGTATTTTTGAACTCGTGTTAAAAGTGCCATTCGCACGTGGAGTTCCGTTTTTCTTCAGCGCATGCTGGAACTTACCATGCCCACGAAGTGTCGTTACTCGCGAACCATTCTCGAGAGATGGCTTAGAAAAACAGCGGGAAAACTCGGCTTCACAATCGGCAAGTCCCCTTGGTGGTGTGCCACAATTTCTCTGGCGGTATTTTGTGGCTTCGGACTAGGCATGTTTTCCATGCAATCTCAACAATCCTTGGACGACATGCGATTCGTCATCGGCGGACCCATGTCCGAAACAGTTTCTGTGATCGACAGCTTGTTTCCCACCAACTACTCCCATTTCACTCCCGACCGATCTGTGCATGTTCAGCGGTCGGGCGTTGTTCTCTTGAGGCCGAAATCTGGTACGAACATTCTCACGCCCGCCGCATTGCGCGAAGTGCGATTGGTGAACGAAGCTATCGTCAATGCGAAGGTGGAGCACCCGGGCACGAAACGGGGATCCACTCCAGACACCTTCACGTTTCGGGATGTGTGCCCGAAATGGCAATCTGAATGCTTCGCTGCTTCGTGCGCCCACGTGTCGGAGTTCAATATTGACCAAGGGAAGCTCAAGTATCCTATCACCTTCGGTGAAGACCGCAAGGTTTATTTCTTTGCTGGTTGCCTCGGGAACCCGGTATTCAGACTGAACTCCACGAACGTCGTCCTGAGCTCGCCCGCCATCAGGTTGCCCTATTTTCTTGATGACCACGACTTGATAAGCTCCATCAAGTGAGTCCTGGCAAGAACTCAATCTTCCGACGCATGATTTGTTTGTCTTGGACACAGCTGCCCTTCAAGTTGAACTATTTCATTCCACCTTCCCGTTTCCCGTTTCTGCCCAAAATGCATTCTAAATTCTAATACACTTCAGAATGCAAAGACAAGCTTTAAAAACTAAAAAATCCCATTTCATAAAATATGAATCTTTGGATTTTAATTTTATATTTAGGTAAAATGCTTCCGCTCTTCAATGTTTCCGGTCATTCTTACCAACAAGTTCGGAAATATTTAAATGCCGCATTCAACCGATTACGGACAGCAAATTTTTATGGAAATATTTCATGCTGAAAGCAATTTAGGAAAATCATGCGGCAAAACAATCAGGGATTTTTCTTCTTGATTTCACATGAAAAATATTTTTAAATTTTTTTAGGTCTTTACACTTATTGTCTAACTCAAATCGCTGTCCAAATGAGGATTTGGTGCATCGTGGTCTTTAACTCTAGGTCTTTAATTAGAAAAGGAACCACTGCCAAATAATTTACTGAAATACTTGAAATACCTAAAATTTCCTCTTCCATTTAATCATTCGCCCAACGTCTTCAAGCTTCAAGTGTTTATTATGAATATTAAATTAGCTGGAATATTAGAAGAACCTTCAGAATTGGAAACGGTTTGAGGTAAACACGCTTTAAAATGAAATTGGATCGTGTTAGTATGAGGGTAGAATTTCCTATGTTATTGAAAAAACCTGTCAAATATTTTCCCCGCCTCCCTCAAATTGAATGGGTCCTTCGAGATTCCCCGACTGACGGGTACAATATGCCTGGGAGCACCAACATGATTCACGTATCATCCTCTGGGCATATTGAACTTTTTTTTTTTTTTTGCTTCAAGCTGGCTGTCTGAGTAATTTCAGTCGATAAAAAGGGTATTTTCTCCACATATCTAATGGAATTGCTTCGCTTCCTCATGAATAAAGAACGTCAGCTTATTCATCCGTGTTTTATTGAAATACAAATCATTCTATAGTTCTCCTTTCTGTTTCAAATTAATTTTCTAACCATGTGATAGTCTCGAGGGGTGTGCGGTGACAACAAATAAATGAAACGCCCATCGCCAACGAACAAATGTTTTAATGATTATTTTCATTTGTGTAATGCGCGCGAACACAAAAGTACTGTGTAAGCGCTCTCTGTTCCAGTATACAGTACTGTACGGTACAAAAAAATGATGCCTATAAATTCCGGCGGACTGTTCCCCGCACATGAAGACCTGACACATTTTAAGGCCTGCGTTTTAAAATTATTTTCATTTTAATGCGTATATCCGAGCGCGAAATATAGAGACCAGATCTTTCTGTAGCAAAAATTATTATTTGGTAGAATTTATCCGCCACTGAGAATTTCAACTTGCTTCATTACAAAAGCGTACGTAATTCCAACACTAGCCTATGCTGACGTCACAGTAGCAAATCAGTCAGAAGTATAGCATATTCTAGAAGGAATAGTATTTTATCAGCTGGGGTTCAATAACAAAAATAGCCGAAGCGTCTTCTTTTAAATCCGTACTTCTGCTGTTAACAAAGTTTCATAATTTCAGGAGCTTGACATAGCCCAGGAGACGTTATTAAAATTCATATCCTATTGGAAGCTTCTGAAATTTTTAAGGCAGAAGAAAGCTGACGACTTTTTTCTTCCTCGGATGACCCTGAAAGGCTTTCACTGGTTTACCCAGAAAGATTTTTCAGAGGATTCGCAGAAAATTGTCATGGTCTGGGATCAACTTTGAAAGCTTTCTGTTTTTCAACATTCTTTAAAGGTTGTTCCGATTCTGTGCAATTTTAGCTGATAAAGAACAAGTGGACAGCGTTCTTTCTTTTCTTTCTTTTTTTTTGAGACCGGAGTTCCGCGCTGGTGATCCGGGGAGAGGTTTGTTGGTTCAATCGGATCCTTTTTGGCAGGGCGCAAGCATGGGAGCAGAGATTCTGGAAGATTGCGGAAGACCTCAGAGCGCGGTTGAACCACACAGAAATGTATTTTTACTCAGCTACCTCAAGAGACAAAGAAATTCAAGAAGTCACCACGGAACTCGGACCAACAATCATAGTTTCATCAGTTTTGCTGCTACTTTTCACGGTCTTGTGCGGCTTGACCACCGATTGTGCAGTTACTAAACCGTGGATCGGATTGCTAGCCTTGGTCTCCACTGGTCTCGGGATCCTTTCTGGAATGGGGCTAGGCTCAAGTCTCGGGATACCCTTTTCTCCGACTTGTGTCCCAGTCCCATTCCTTTGTCTGGGTGAGTGGGCTAGTCATCCTCGTTTTTCTTTCTTCGATGGGGTGTCGGTGTCGAGACGAATGGGTAGAAAACACGACAGCGCGGAGTGGCTTCATACATTGCGGCCATCACCGCTGACGTCCTGACCTTGGTGACCGGGAATGTCGGTCCTCGTTCAATGATCTAGTCTCCGTACAGCGCACCTGATCGCCGAAATGGAGTCTCGTCGCGATCAAGCTTGGAAGTTCAATGTCAGCTAGACTGTAGTATGACAATGGTCGAGTGCCTCTTGCAGAATGACTTTTCCTTTTCCCCGATTTCCCGATAAAAGATTAGTTTCATTCATTTGCAAGGCCAACGGATGAGCTTGACATGTCACTTATCTTGTTGGTTCATTCATAAGCCCAGCACGGCCCGAACAAAAACGCATTCGGTTTTCGCGCCCCTCTCACAAATTATCGCTATCGTTGTAACCTGAGCACTGAGCAGCATAACGACGATACGCGCGATTCATTCAAGTAGCCTGTGTTTGCTGAAAACTCTGCAGTATAACCCGACGCATTTACGCCAGCCATGAAGTAACCTTAAGCATTGACAAAACAAGTAGAATCTCCGTATCCAGCGAACCCTTGTCGGGGTCTCGTGTCTCAGTTCGGTCCTGGGCATTGTCTCCAGTATGACAGCGTAGTTCTTCTTACTTTTTCGTCACGCACATCCTCATCTGATGGTCGTGTGCAGGTCTGGGTTTAGATGGAGCTTTTGTCTTACTCGGGGCATGGAGAGCGACGGACGATGAGAAGTCGGTGCCGAAACGAATGGCGAGGACGTACGAAAGCGCCGGGGTGGCTTTATGCATCACCACCGTCACCGACGTTTTGACGTTCGCGATTGGAATTACCATTCCTCACGGAACAGTCCGACTTTTTTGCATTTGGATGGGTTAGTGCTGGTAACTCAACATTTGCTGAAACTTATCCCGAACGAACTTCGAAATTTCTTCGAGGTCCGGTGTCCTTGCTGCCACGAAAAGCGAATGAAAATGAAAAAGCCCGCTGCTGTTCGCAATTACTACCCGTCCCCCGTTCCCAGCATGTTGAGATTAGAAATTCGAAGCAGCCTCTCCTCGAGACCACCTGAAACCAGCAAAAATGAATGGAATTAACATAATATGTACTAAAATTGTCAAATAAAAAATAATGAAAAGTGAAGACCCATTGTTTTCCGTCCCCTAATAAGCTAGGTCTTAAAAAATTTTCAACCTTTTAAAAAGTATGTTACAGATCTGTACTTACAAATTGTTCGTCCTGGTTTCCGAGAAACATCAGCTTGTTTTTCATGGTTATTGGCCAAACTTATCCTCCAAAAAATTATCATTTTTCCTCAATAAAAGGTTGCAGAAAATCATGGTGTTGATCACATAATCTACACCCTGAACATAATTGCGTCAACAAGGCGATGAATATTTTGTTTGGTTCCATTATTTAATTAAGGTGCAGTAAATTAATGAGAGAATATTCTCCATGAAGATTTCAGATTTCACGATGCTATTTAAAAAAAATCTACAAAGCGTTGCCTAAATAAAATTTCTCGATTCATTTTTCAACGGATTGTGGGCATCGAAGTGAGAATATTTTTTACATTTAATTCAGCGTAGCTGCAAGATACATTTAGATGCGACCTCAAACCAATGAGATTCATTTAATTTTAAAATTCAGGAAAATATACACAGGGTCTCTATGAAGATTTATTGATACACAGTATAATTCATTCACATTTCCGAAATCGAAGTCTTTGGAGATTTTTTGACCCAGTTACAGCAGCGTCTCGAGATACGATACTCGAGACTTGAAGTGCGGATGATAAAACTAACGCATTTTTATTTTCTGAATGAAGATTGTCGTACGCATACACGCATCGCCTCATGTTTTAAAATTTATCTCACGTACCCGACGGCAGCAACGACAGTATTTCAATTAAAGCTTTTTGTTGTTGAAGCGAATCAGCAAAATGAGCAATTTCCATCGTACTTTCGTGCCATTCCCAGATACTTCCCTTTCGAAATTCCCTTCTAATGCTGGCGCCTTTTGATCTCTTCCAGGCATGGCCATTTCCATGTGCTTTTTCGTGACGATCTTTTTCTTCGGATCATTTTTGGCGATCTTTGGACGCTGCGAGGCAGCAAATAGGCACGGGTGCATATTTACCAAAATTCCGAATGGTAAAGAAGGTATGACCCAAGTTTTTTTATTTCATTTTTCCAACGCCAAAATTTGAAATAAAGGGAAAACTGCAGTATTTAAAGCATTATATTTCGTATATCGGACAGACTTTAACCGGACCGGACAAAACGTTGACTTTCCACGAAGTACGCATCCCTCATAATGCTGCTCATAAATTATGGCATTGTAAACTTCACGTAAAGTTTTGTCTTAATATATTTTGTGAATAGACTTGAATTATTTCATGCATGTCAATCCGTCAAAATCCTCTCTGTCCGAGCGAAATTGTTTCAAACATGCACATGCAGTCTATGAGGATATATAGAACATATACATTACTGTATATGGTATTGTAGCGCTGATCGAGTATTAATGCATATACCGTAGTATGCACCTTGAAAATATAAAATAAATCATGTTTTTGCAATGATGAACCGTATCCTGTGCTTTGGACTTCGCAGTTTAGTCAATAATGTTTCATGCATGAAAGGTTTCGGTTTGAATCCAAATGAAAACCGACTTTTTCAACTTCCATACCCAGGAAGTTTTTCATGTCCAACTTATTGACTACAGTAGTATGTCGTGTTTCGTGTTACCTGGGTATTTTAGAAAACGTTGCGAAGACTTTCTCTTTGTTTCGACTAAAATAGCATAAAAGGACTCGAAATTAGAAAATTTCATATTTTTTCGTTTCCGCTTCTATAACGAAGTAACTGAGAGCAGCATCTGTTGAACAATGCACTTGATAATCTGGTTCCTCACTTCTTAAAAAAATGAAAATAAGTTTATTGATGCAATTGAGAAGTCAGGCATTCGGAACCGGTTTTAATTTATCGTCGACAATATGAGATGACAGTACATCGGTATTATTGTCGAAAAACAAAACTCGGGAAATGTAATGCAGCGTATGAATGCATTTCCGGAATGGTATTGATATGATTCAATTCTCAGGATATGTTTTACGTATCGATAGCACCGTTAACTTTTGAACTACTGTACTGTGTAATGCTGCAGTTCTTCGCCGTCAACTTCATTTCATCACGATATATTATTGAAGTCTTTGTCAAAACACGTGTAACCATTCGATTTGGGATGAGCCAACTGCAGATTATTTATCCAGTATATGCGTGAAACCTATCAGAGACATACGCAGCATTAGAGGTGAATTTGAGCGTTACAAAACGAATGGAAGTCCACGAGTGGAATGTTTGCATTCCGTAATACTGTACCTAGAAGCGTATAAATTCGAGAGGGAAAAGCGCCTCAAAGCGTGAGTGCTTGGAAGTGGAATCCAGTCGGAAATATTTCATTCATCCCTGCAGCACACACGAATTCATGTGCGCGGATCTGTTGCATCGGGTGCGGGGAATCGACGAAAACGGACTCGGCCCAATACGTCGGCATTTCCGAGCGGATATTCCGCCGAATTTACGCGCCCTTGCTCAATCGGAAGTCCTTCAAGGTGAGTGATTTCATGCTCCTCGTTTTATTTAGAGTCGAGTCGAAGTGAAATCGTCCGATTTACGCCCGCCTATTTCCGTATCTGCCTCTATATAGCCGTCCATCCTTGCAGGGATTGGTGGTGTTCCTGTACATATTATATGCCTTTGTTGCTTGCATCGGAATCTCGAAGCTGGAGATGAACATCGACGAATTGAGGGGCTTGCAGCAAACTTCCCCGACCATACTTTTCCGTCAGTTCAACCTTCAAGACTTCCAGTACAATATCAGGGTTCAAGTAAGCCGCATTCACCGGGCGAAACACCACTCACGATCATTGTTGCATCCAAATCATTAATGCGTCCAGGTCGTAATTCGGGGAAAGCTAAATTATTCTGACCCACTTGTGAGGGATCGCATCGAAGAAATGACCACGAAAGCAGAATCCGGGGAACATATGGCGAAAGGAGTATTCTTAACGCAGTCCTGGCTGCGGCAATACAAGTCATGGCAGCCTGACGGAGAAGAGATTACTTTATCCATTAAAGAGGTGAGATGTGCTAACCTCATTGTGGCAATCACGCGAAGTGTGCAGTTAACCCAGACCATCCGAAGAAGGATAGCTTCTCTGGAATTAATCATGAAGTCCGGAAGGGCCGATCAAGTGGTTTGTTGATCCAATGATTAGCTGATTGTCCGGACTGATCGGAAAATAAGTTCGGCAATCACCCTCCGAGAACGGTTGATGGATTGATTAAAAACCTTTTTCGTCATACGTACACGTACAGTGCATTTCTGGATACAGTGCCACTCATTCGGATAATATATTCGATTGCTAATACCTGTAGCAACAAATCGATTCCTTTCCATCGTCAGCAACACGAATGACCCAGTTTACAGGAATCGTTGAAACTGATCACTTAACGGAATGAGTAATTATTTTACTCTCGCCTATACGTTATCTATTTCTAAATACTTCTGCAATAAAAATAAATTATTCATGCTCATTTGCTGAAACGGGATTTTGAAGAGCACCCGAAAAAGCTTTCAAAGAATATTCACGGGCATATTTAAAGCGGCGCTGCAAGAATTTCAAAAGCAACGTAAACCTTTCGTTCCTGCAAAAAATTTTCATTTAAATTTTTTTTTACAGAGCTGTAAGGTGTTCGCCTGGTAATAATCTGTTTTTCGGTCATTGAGGTTAGGATTCTGATGTTGCGTGCATAATGCGATTGTCTTCTGTATCAGAAATTCTTCTCGATATTGCATTGGCTGAAAGTTGCATTTTTTGCTTACATTCGCACAAATTCGGAACAACACGCTGCCGAGTTTACTTTATTTATGTTGCACCTGATGCCCAATGATTAATGTTGAACCCAGGTGTACACTCTGTTCATGTGACCTAAAAACGTCCATCGGGCAGCATTCATTTTTCTTGCGATCACTTGTTTCCTTATTTTCCGCTGTCATCGGCGCCACAAATTGCCGACATTATGTATTCGACGCTTCGGGGGGTTTGACAAGGCAGCTTTATTTTCGAGTGCTGTCTTTTCGCAGTTCATCGACGCAGACCCAGTGTTTGGACAAGACGTCGCATGGAAGAACGGGGACATCGTCGCTTCGCGGATTTTCCTGCAGATGGTGAATGTAACCAGCGTCCAGATCCTCTCGAAAACTATCGAACACTTGAATCAGGTCTTCGAGGAATTTCCCGAGCTGGATATTCATGCTTATCATCCGGAGTTCCGTATGCACGAGTTGGTGAGTTGGCTAAATATTCTGAAAATACTGCGTGAGCTTAAAAATAATGGACCGATGTTGTAAAAAAAAAAAAAAGATTCCCTGACCGATCAAACTTGCGATATTACAGAAGTCAAGCATTCAATTGCAATTACATCGTAAAAGATACTTTTTTAAGGACTTCAAGTGAACGCCGCCTCTGACCCAAGCGCGTTTGGAAGAACCATGCCCGGGAAAAGGTTACCACTTCCGAACAAAAGTTGTACCAGATATTCGTGACCTAAATGAATTGCGGATAGTCAGGGAAGCGAAACTTTTCCACTGTAAAGGATGACTTTTTCAGGCTTCTGGGAGGTTTTCGGATAATTCCTGGCAATTTTTTTGACGAGACGTGTAAGAAAGAAAATATTTTCGGTGGATTCAGAAGTAAATTACCGCGTCCCAGTAATACAGTACATGCTTTTTGTGAGGGGAAAAAACGAAAGAAATTGTCCATGATTTTTATATTTTTTCACTCACTTTAGTGAGTTTATCCTCATGGAAGTCTATGACAACAGAAACATTTTTCCAAATTATAACCCGAAGTTTCCGCATGGAACTAAAACTTAAACACTCAATTCTGCCATTATTTTACGATGATACGGGGATTCTTGTTCACTTCGCCGTTATGGGGTACAAATTGGAGGAAAAATTGGAAAAACGTTTCCGCATATATTACTAAAATAGTACGAAAAATTGCAGCTTCATGGGGCTGATTTATAATTGCAGGTAATTTTACGCGATGATTGACAAGGTAAAATTTCTGTATGGTCTTCGTCAAACCTTGTTATATTTTCCGTAGATTACATGAACTTATAATGAGGCGCACAATGCTCATGCCAGTTTTTTTTTTTTTATTAGAAACGTCTCCATTATGATTTTCATCAGTCTTTCAGAAAGTATAAATGAATGCGTTTTCTTTTGATATTTCATACGTCAATGCAAAAAACAAGATTTTTTTGAAATTCATTCACTGCTTCTTGTTCAACCCCCTTCTCCGTTCACTACAGGCCCATATGAACATGAATACGAGTATACAGCGGTGTTCAGGAGTATCAGGACTATTAATAACGAAATCTGTGCCAAAAAAGGGAAACGACAAAAAAGAAGAGGGGTATCCTTGTCATCCGAATGACCAAAAGTTTTCCTGCGGAATAAAAAAAAAGGTTTTTTGTTACTTTCATGGCAATTCACGGGGATTTATTGAGTCGATCTCATAACCAATAAAGAAACAGGAATCACTCTCCTAATTATCCCACAGAATTGTCCTCCGCCTTCTCTTTTATCTCGACAACAACGATTGCTGTCTTGAGGGTGTCATTATTGCACTCTCTTTCAATGGCCGCGGGTCCAGAGTCCTGGTACCAAAAGCAAAAAATACAAAATAAATTTCAAATCCGTACTTCCCCTCGAAAGGAACACTGAAGTCGTTCTTTCAGAATTATGTTAGGACTCCGCCCGCAATGCACATGATTTCTGAATTACGTGCTCATCATGCACCGCAAGATTTTTTTTTCAATTTTCGGGTCTGGTCGTTCGAGGAAGCGTGAATTATGGCTGAACTGAAGTCGACATAATTGGAATTCTATCGGTAGTCCGTAATGCTGCCCGAAGCGACGCGGGAAGGAGTATTCATGGCAATTGGCGCCATGACACTCGTGGCGTTCTTGCTCATCCCGAACATGTCCGGGATCTTCGTTGTCACCTGCTCGATCCTGTCCGTCCAGATGGGCGTCGTGGGCTACATGACGCTGTGGGGCGTCCATTACGATCTCTACTCCATGGTCATGCTCATCATGACAATAGGTTTCTCCGTGGACTTTTGCGCGCACACTGCATACGCTTTCTACTCGCAAAAGCCAACGACGGATCCCGTGGAGAGGCTCGGGATCGGGCTTACGCACGTCGGACTGCCCATCCTGCAGGGCACGACTTCCACGGTTATCGCCGTGGTGGGGCTGCTCTTGACGGGGATCCACGTGCACGTCATGTTCTTCAAAGTAGTCTTCCTTATCATGACCATAGGGGCGCTGCATGCTATCCTTTTCCTACCAGTCTGCATGCTAATTTTCGAAACAGTGCCGTGGAAGGCTGTGTGCTGCGCGGATTCTTCCGTTGAGGCGCCTGCCGCCGACGCGGACGATTTATGCGAGCCACCAGATGCGAGACACGCCTTTTTGCAGCGGATTCCACCGCCTCCTTACCCGGACTTGGGCTCCGCCAGCAAGAAACTTGACGAGGAGAGTTGCAGTGCGTCACCATCCTGAAAATAAAATGACACGAAGACTTGTCTTCTCGCTCAACTCTCATGGCGACGCCCATCTCCTCGTGCGTCAGAAAGAAGACAAAGAAGTTCGTTCAGTCACATTCCCGGTTTTGCTCGTGACAGGGATAGTATTCAACACATTCAGATTGATTCAAAAGGGCCGCAACACTTCACGGAAGAGACCGAAGGAATACTTCTCCTACTCTCAAGGTCGAATTTATTTTTCAGGAATTGGCATAGGAAGTTGCGCCTCTTTGCTTTTCTGACCCGACTTATCAAAGGACGGCGAATGAAAGCATTTCCACGAAAATCCAAAATATTGTACCTCTTCAGGCATTTGGAAACCCAACGGTGAAAATCCCCGAGGGTACTACAAATTCGCGTACAATAAAAATTTCGATACATATTCATTTTGTATAACTGACTGGTGATGATGTGCATTTCACGGTATTGGGATCTCTTGCAGCTATTTGATTATGAGTGAATGACCAAGAATATTGATTTTCGAAATAAAATGCTCTGGAAAGGGTAATCTGATTCACGTGCCCCCAGCGCTCCGCTGGAACACACTTGACAAGTCAAACGGGACTTTATTTATTGTTTTCATTTTTGTTTCATTGCTTTTCCCTAACTTCAAATCCTTTTGTTGAAACGAGCCCGGGAAAATGATTTCCGCGTCTCAACAGACTTCAGGAAAACGGAAACGAGTAACGCTAAAAATAATTTCTCAACGTTTGCGAGCGTCGCTGCACTTGTGAGAACCATTTAATCATTCGAATTTAGCATGCGTACTGATGATATAAAAGATGGGTCGCCGTCTCACGAGCCAGGCATGATATTTCTAGGATGGAGAATTATCTCAATTCCATCCAACTGTGAGAACACAAAGAACCTCCTCTGAATAGGTTCATCCATGAGGAAAAGTTTTTCTTTTTGGCTAATTGCTTTCTCGTGTTCATTTCCTGAAGACTCAAGCAGCATACACGGTTTATGGATATCCAAGATGCCCAGTGCTCGCAGCCATTGTGTTAAGCCAATGCGACTCGGGTTCGTACAAGAATCACGTTAACTTCCATTTATCAGTTATGCAATCCGCCGTAGTTTTTAGAGTCTCATTTTCCATTGCGTTTTCAGATTACATGGTGTACATCAAGTCAACGTCTTCTACATGCTCACATTTCGTAAATTAGATTTGGCTTTTAACGAGGTAAAATCAGAATTTCATCGCACAGCACTCTCTTAAGGTTTTTTCTGCCCAAGAAAATTTGAATTTGAAATCATGTTATTCCAACACTCATGAAGAAGAATCTGTCAGAGGGGAAGCAGATTTGAAACCCTGATGCTTTATTTCCAAGGAACCTTTCCATTTTTCATGAGACGCAGTCGGATTTAGGTGGCGTGAAACTCGAATACAGTATGCTCAAGCCCGCCATCCTGTTTCCGTAGTAGAAGGGCAGAAGTGATTGGTGGATGGCCTCGACACATTTCTCAATTAGTCCACATCATATCATGGAAATAAGCTATGTTTTTGACAAGAACCAGAATTGAACACGTGAGAAATTTATGAACTCGCAAGCCTCAACCACACGTACATTGCACCTTTCATAATACGATGTCCCACGAAATTTGATGGAATTTCGGATCTGTTTGGAAAATTTACGAGCATGGTTTTCCGGGGTTTGGTAGAAAATTTGACTGGACGAAAAATCCTTGGCGTTCGAAATGTGTGTGAACTGCTACGGGATGATCAGCCCTACACATAGTTCTGATCGCACCACATAAATACTAGAGAAATTATGTGAAATAGACTCATGAATCATGAATTTCCATTAGTCAGAAGTTCCTGTCATTTACTTAAGCGTGATGGCGTGCTGAAAACATTAACTTATACTTTGCTGAATCCAGGAACGGAAAAAAGATTGACGATTGGCTCAATTTGCATTGCGTAAATATCTGCTGCTGTGAAACATCTGCAAGTCGATAAGATTCAAACTGGAGGATCATTTAAAGTTAAACATGTAAACAGGCTTCGATTTTAGGCGAGAATAATTCAACGTGGAGTAGTAATAATTTGAGCTTGCTTATGCGTTGAAATGCTCTCCTATAGAGGTTCCGAGGTACAATTTAATGACTTCATTTTACGAAGTTTATGAACAAGGATACAAAATTGCAAAAATATTCTTTCAAAAGACGTGGCATGGGCGTATTTTCTCTGAACTGTCCGTTTGCAAGAAATTATTCACCTGATTTTGCCATGAAGGGTGATCCTGAAATCAAGTGCTTCATTTTGTAATCGTAAACCTGATATTTTATGTTAAAATCTTTCACATCAGTTTTATTCGCCTCAGCAAAATGTAATCCTCAATCTCAGATTTTTATGCAAAAATTAGATTTTCAAAATTATCTTGGAAAGGTGGCCGTAAGTGTTCCACGTTATTTCACTTCTCGATGCATAATTTCTTCAAAGCTGACGAATAAATTTGAATTTTTGCATAAGCTAACCTGGGTTTTTGGAAAATTTAATTTTTCAACATTGCTTATTCTACTGTAGTATGCGGTCTCAATAATAATGCAATTCTTTTCGCTATTTCACCCAGTTGTGTGGGCAGTGCTTATTTTATTTTTAAAGTTAGAGCACTGAATTGCGCGTTCCATTTCATTACAATTTTCTTGTTCATCTTCGGTGCAATTTGAGGGGCTGCAAATCGTGGACTTTCAAAAATAATGAGAGGACGATAAAATGAGATATGGTCTGCGGCATCGCATGATTTGAAACATTTTCAACACTCTTGGAAAATAATGAAATTATCCCGCGTTATGCGAAGCTCGGAGTCTTTGCAGTTATTCTTCAAGTGTTTGGGTATCCTTATGTACTAATCTTGAACTAAAATTGGAATCGATCTCTCGCGTTAACAAATATTATTCGAAGGTACATCTGCCCTACTCAAGAACTTCTAGAATTATGGACGTGATTCGCTACATTTGGGAATTCTTGACATTAAAATTACCCTCAATTTATTTTTTAAAAGTTCTGTCCAATCCTGCTGCTTGCATATTCCGAGGGAAGTGTCTTTTCCAGGATATCATAAATTATACAGTAATAGCAAGTGTTGAAAATGAATAACCCATGCGTGGGATGGTCAAATTCGCAAACATCTTGGTTTTGAACAGTTTCATGCCCGTCTGAACCACCATCATACATTCACGCAGAGCTTCCTCGACAGATCAGCCCCTGAAACAAACATTGATACTGATGACAGCAAGTTATTCCAGTACATGATCCATTTTTCGGCATTTTGAGCTGGTGCATGTTTATGACGCATGGAATGTTGAGCACTCAGACGCTTTCGTATGATTTTTGTGATATTTTAAATACTTCTATAAATTGTTTGCATGGTTACAATGAAAGATGTCATAATTTGACCATACTGAGTACGAAAAATGTTGAACTAATCTTCTGGTGCATCTGGCTGAACAAACGCGAATTTAAACATTTTCTTGGAACTTGCTGAAGATGGGAGACATTTTAATTTTCTTGGGCAACACCTTTCAAGGAACAAATGAAATCAATATTCATATAAAATAAAGTTTTGAACATTGGTGTGGCTGGCGAAGTTCTAAATTGATTGCCCTTACAGGATGGAAATTTTGAAGCCCAAAAAGGGCAGCATTTCCAACGAGCAAGTTAATTGTACTGAGTAAAGCTTACGTGTTTCAGCGGGATCCTCGTAACATAGCGCTTACTTTCATCCGGAACTTCGGAGTAAATTTTTAAACTTCGTTGACATTTTATCACTTTATCCCAAAAACATTTTTTTTGTTTTTAAGGACGTTTTCTGAATACATTTAGAAAATGTTTTTGTGTCCGGGAGGTGAAGATGCGCCACTGTTCTCGCGTGAACCTTGAGAAAAATTGAAAAATCTGAATAATAATGCACGAACTTGTTTTTCATGCCAACTTTTGTTAGAAGAAGAGCACACGGAAAACGCACAACTAAATTATCAAAATTATCATCTTCAAATCAAGGAATAAATTGTAATTGCTTCAGTTATAACGTTGAAATCAGCAGTCAAGGTAAGTCAAACAACTTGAGCTGTCGAGATTCCAGAATTCAACAAGGACGTCACGTCATTTTTTATTCAAGTTCCACTTTAGGTACGTAGTCAAATACTGTGCTGTAGTTGACTTCATATGGATCGACGATTCAGATTTTTCTCAAAGAAGGATATGCTCTTCCTCCGGTGAAAACATGAACAACATTAAAGAAGACTGTGGAGCACATGGTTGTCAAAAATCGTTTTCATTTCCTAAAAATCCCTCCTCAAAGTTCGCTGAAGCGTTGATCGATTGTGGCACACTCATACAAACATCAAAAGGCGCGCTCGCCGAAATTTATGGAAACGACAAGGAAAGCGCAATAAATGAAAAAAGACACGATTGCATTTTCTTTCTCGAGTTTTCCTCCTCTACGCAAATCGCGATAAGCCGAAACTTGCTCAACGAAATACAAACACTCATCACGAACTCCACATTTTTCTCAGCTCTTCTCGACACAATGCCCACCAACTGACACAAGAAAATAAGCAATCACGACCACCTGCGCGATACAACCTTATTAAGAAGCATGGATTCCAAAAAGTGTTCATCATAGTCTACCTACGCTACTTGCTATTCTTAGGGACCGCACTTTCGAAATACGGAGAAACGTCGAAACTACTCCTAATTGCTTATTATACATGCATGTCACCGATTTGAATAAAGCTCTGGCGCTCTCGAAAAATACAGTAATCCGTCGCTAGAATCTAAGTTACGATCGACGCCTGATGCGAAAACTAGATAGAATTGCGGTTAGCCGTTATCGTCAAATCCGCAGTCGACCAGCCCAAAATGTTTCCAATGCCTTCATGACCAAAAACAAAAATATGCCGACGATGCGAAAGAAAGTACTGGCCGCTGTTTCGCCAAGAGAGGCCGGAGGAAAGGCATTGCGCCGGATACCGGTATGGCTTTATTCGCTCAGCGGAGAGGTTAGGAAATCAGCGCTCATCGCTGTACGGCCCGAAGCACAAGTTTCACGCTTGTCGAAATCTCCGCCGAGACGTGGGCTGAATGCCTGACCCGAGGCTTGCTGATAGGAGAGAGAGATGCCTGAGCTCCGGAGTTCCAGGTCGAACCGTGAACTTTCTCGGGATCCACAGAAGTCCGTTAAGCGCCGAAGATCACTAAAACGAGGAATAGGAAGAGGGGGACACGCTTGTGTTTTCCCGAAACCGTGTCGTTCGCGCTTTGGCGTCGCGACAGCGATTCATGTGACATTTCGCTAGGCGCTTTCACATCCACAGCTAATCAACAAATGTCATCTACTGACGAAGGACTCGATCGCGCCGTCAGCGAGAAAGGAATTTGATTCCGGATGTGCGACCGTCCACCTTCAGTCCTCTGCGTGGCGTCGTACTCATGTTGTCGAAGTTCGTGGCGAGTTGGTCACCGCTTGACCCAGTTGAACTCTCCGGCGAGGATGAGCACTATCGTCGGGACCACAGTCAATAGCCAGAAAAGCTTGGCGTTCATCGAATTCAGCGCTCCATTCATGTCATGCATGGCCTGGGAATTCTCCCCTGAAAAAAAAATAAAAGGGAAACATTCAGCATCAGCGGTTCTCAGTACAGTATTCTAAGCGTAATAAAAATGGAGTGAAAATGTCCCCTATTTCCGAATGGATAACAAATCAGCGAGCACTATTCAAATTAAGAAAGTTTTAATTCCCTGCCCTCTGACGTGATTAATTACCAAATTCCTCTTACACGTACATTATGTGAGCCATTGACAACGGATCCCCCCCCCCCCCTAAAAACTTCGCGAATGGCTGATCAGATCAGTGATTTTATTAGTGCGGATAAAAAACCATGCGAATTCCTGGTGCAGTCTCTGTTTGCATTTAGGGATCAGAAGAATACATAAGTAAATTTTAACTTGATCCAGAACGTAGAAGCTATCCTCTCAGCATAAATACATTGGAAAACTGTCGGCAGTTTACTTCTCTTATTTTTTATTTGTATTTTTATTTTTCTTCGTGAAGTCGATCTGTATAGACGCATCATTCAAAAGTGAGTAGCAGCCAGTATTAAGCTAAAAATAACTCGTATTCGTCTACTCCATGATATGTTAATGCATATGTTTTGCGTTGCTTTTGCCAGGTTTGGCAACTGACTGACGGTGAGAAGCCCCGCTGAAATCTGAATATAAACTCATCCTGTCTGGTTATCCCGTCTCATCCCTGAAACATATTTCATGTATGTCCCTCGGGGGTTTGAAATCAAGAGCAAATCGCGCCAGACGCAAAGAAAGGCCCGAGGCTCTGTACGGGAGAGAGGGAAAACAGTGTCATGCAAAAATTGTGATGAATGCATGCGTGAAAAATGTACACTTGAACGGAAGTCCGCGTGTTGGTATGATCATCACGTGCATAAAGTGAGCTGCACCTTGACAGCTTCCCATAAAGAAGGAACTGTCGCTTTGAGAGCCGAGCCAAGGTTATGCTGACGTCTTGTTGCTCTTAATGGATCATGCAGAGAGCAGTCTGTCTAATGGGATGAAATGTGCTTCGCGCCCCACGCGGTTTATATCTCAATTCTGCACTTCTTGCTGCCTTACGCGAGTTAGTCAGCCAGATAACTTGCTACGGATTGGTCCTAAAAATAATCTGGTTAAGCGGCGAAGAGCGTCAGCGCACGAAAATTAGTATTAATTGTGGTTGAGATAAACCGACCCGCCACGGGTTCGAGTCGGAAGGGAATGACCAGAATACATATCATTGAGGAGTATGAGGACCAAACGGTTTCATTGCTTGTCTCGCCGGAGAAAACGATGATATGTTGACACGGGATTTCTTGCGTGAAGAGGTTCAACGAAAATTCAATACTTCAGCGCGATAAATGTCGATCGTCGTTGAGTATGAAAGGATTCAATTTGTCGACTTGCTCGTAAGTAAAGACCTGCCGATATCCAGAGAACTGAACTGGTTCTGAAATGTTCTTTCCGCGGGTACTTGTGCAAGTGCTTTTCTTCGGACGGAGAGAGAGAAATTTTAGGCACGACCACTCGTCTGGGTAGAATCCGATTCACCGCCAAGTCGCGCCTCCAACGATTTACTAATGCGTTTTGTCACCGTTGAATGGATCTTCACCATTCCCTTTACATTTAGAATAAAAAAAAGATGGATCTGAGGACCCTCGCTGGTGCATTGAGGTCAGATATATGTGTTTTCGGGAATCATATTATGTTTTCCGTAACTTTATGGCGTTGTTCTTCTGAATAGAACTAAGGGGGGCGTCTGATTTTCGCACACCGCCCACTTTTCAACACTCTTTCGCAAAGTACTGTATTTTAGGCGTCATTCTACATTTTTCAACCCATCAGATCAATGGAACAGATTGTCCGGATAATTTCTTCATTGCTGTATGCCTTTTCCGGGTACTTTAATAAAAATTTCGGAATCATCTGATTTCATTACGATTGTTGACTGGTCAAAAAAGTGTAAAAAAAGTAAATACTGTACAGTAGTATTTTTTATCAAGCTTTTTTTTATTCTGCCGATGTCTGAATTGAAAATTATGATACAGTATTTTTACGATTTCCTGAAAGACGTAGCGCATCAGAGCCCCAAAAAACTTACCCAAGCACCTTTCTGGCCATCAGAAAGTTTGGGTCACCTCAGGTATTCTGTCGAACAACGACCGCGCTGAAGGTTGTAAAAAGTTATCATGACGGATTTGAGATATCGTTAGAAGTGCGTCAAAAATACACCAAAAATTTTGGCAGTGCTTGGATTTATCTTTGAGACACCGGTGCACAAAGCTCTGGAATTTCATTTCCAATGATCTGATCATCTGAACTGCAGCGTTCAACAGCCAATAACATGTGAATGAACGTTGAAAATTGAACTACTCTTCGAAATCAGACATTCCCCGTATTTTCAAATGCTACATATAGAAAAGAATGAAGCTCAGCTTAATTCTAGAATATGCTGGTTTCACTGAGCGAGAAGGAACGAATCCAGAAAAGCATTTCGAATGCTATTGCAATGTCAACTGCGCAATCAACCCCGAAAAAAAGCGACGTATGTTAGAAATGTTCGGTCCATCAGATTTCAAGATAAATTATCGGAAGCCTCTTCGAATGAGAAGTAATTATATGCATCTCTTGTATGCACAGTGACTTCCATTCCGGAGTCAAATAATACGCGTACTTAATAATGAAGGGTTCATAGAGGAAATTTGTTTCTTTCCTGTGGTGCGGCTGAATTGCTCCCGAAGAAAACTTTGAACAACGCCTACGAACTATCGGATTTTGCCCGGGATCCAATTATGCTATGGGCCACACCAGCAACTCCACCGCACGAGCTAGATACAGCACACAGGGTTTGATGGCTCGATTCCCCCCGGATGCAGAGGAAAGGTTCGCTCTAGTAAGCTATCTTTCCGGGACAACGGGGAACTTAGGAATTCATCCACTGCCTGCATGCGTGTTTTGCTCACAAGCTGACATCGGATTCGGATAATGTCGAGAAATGGGGGAAGGGGAGCATCTCGAGATTAGAGAGCCGAGGCTTCGAATAATTTCCGGAGTCATCCGAGTTTCTCATCCATGCACGGAATTCTGATTCCCGCTTCTCGCGGGAAGTTTTCTCCGTGTCCATCACGCAGATTGAAAACTGCTGCATCAGGAGTCAGGACGTACGGGAAGGGTTTGCTAATCAAGATTTGAACGGAATGGGAGAAAGGATTTGACAAATTATTCCAACGGGGTAAAAAGTTCTCTTCTCGGCTTTTCTTCATTCGCGGAATCAGGGCGGGAAAATTAATCCGTCCTTTTTCCTGGCTCCCAATGACCTCCGAATCATCATGCGACTCATCCGACCAGCCAAGCGTAGCTGAGACTGTCGCCCTCAACGAATAAGTCCAAAATAAACCACAAATCATCCACAGTTCCTCAACAGAATTTTAAATAACATTATCGTGAATGATAGAATATAGAAAATAATTAGTTGAGGCTGCCCGCATGCCCTCGAATAGTATCAGCAATATCGATCATAACATGAACCAGTGTTCATTTTACCTCATAAATAATAGAAATTAAGCTTACGAAAATACAATGAGACCCCCACATGCGGACGTCTTGACCTGCGGACAATTCGACATAGGGACACTTATTTTCCAAAAAAAATCAATAAATAAGGCCTGACATGAGGACACTGACTCGACATAGGGACATTTTGTGATAAAATTGCGAATACATTTCAGGCCAAATTACAAGAAATCAATATTTCCAACCCTAAAATTTGTGTAAGAAAAGTTCTTGGGAATTTCTCTCACCAAATTACCATTCATTTTGGTAATTTAAAAAATTACCTCCAGCATAGAGGGACTTCTACTTTTTTCACTTGAATGTTACTTTTTTAGATGCCAAAATTTCAGTGTACAGTACAGAGATTACACTATTCAATGCACCAAATGTTCTTATTCAGTTGAAAATGTATTCACTAATTCAAATTCAAGTGGCAAAAAATTTTTTTCGGGGAATTCTGAAGAATATTTCTTCCACAAAACACCAATTAAAAATTATATAATGTAAGTCTATAGGAAAACAAGACTCGACTTAGGGACACTCTTGATGTACCAATTACTTCCGCATCTGGGGGTCTCACTTACAGTATCTGAACCACAATCGTATCTGTAAAGAAATTATGTAAGTAAAACGAAGGAAAGAATCCTTTCACACAGACGAATATTGGATAGCGTAACCTTTCTGCAACTCAAAATAATCTAAATATTCCAACAACAACAAAATTCAGATTGGACGTCAGTCATTTATATCCAGGCATTTGTGCAGTTTTCTCTGCCGGGGAAGTATCAATTTTTCCTATAGTCACACAGCTCGTAGTTGTGGGTAGTTTTAACAAAAATTCCGTGTGGGTTATCCTTAAAGCTGAAAACGGTGGCAGCTGATAAACTTGGACTCCCTCTGAACAACACCCTTCAATGTTTTACTTTCCCATTTTGATCAATTAAATTCTCAAGTTGGAAACTGAAATTATTCCTTCACATTTTCAAAGGAAATCCGTCCCTAACAACGAAAAAATCATACATGCGAACCACTTCTTGGAACAAAGCAGGTTTTCTTCATGCGGATTCCATGTATTTCATAAAAAAAGGAATCTGTCTTCTGTGCTCATGCTCAAGTTTCCGACGTGATATTGTCAAGCACTTCCTGTTGAAATCACAAGATTATTACTTCTACCTCTTGAGCACTTGAATCGAATGGGTAATTGCATTTCAAGAAAGTTTTTCTTTCACATTTTGTTGGCCAGAAGCAATAAAATGCACTTCGCCAGCGTATGGAAGACGCCATACTATGTAAGATACAATCACATATGCCATTTCATCGTATATAACAACCCCTTTTATTCGGTAAAATTGGCTTTAAAAATTAAGGTGAGTCTTATATTCGAGTAAATATGCGACACTATCGAATTTTTTATCTGATGACACAGTTGGATACCGAGCATGATGTCAGGTAAACGTTGAACAAAATCATGATTTGCATGAGATTCACATGTGCGTCACTTTCCTTCAAGCCTTTGCTTCGCAAACACACTACAGAACTACACAAATCAGCCCCGAATCACGCTGCATAATCACCGAGCTCATCGACGTGTAGATCGTTTACAAACGACATCGTCGACCAACGAATATTTTTTCCATTTTTTTTTACACCCACGGATAAAAACGCAGGCGATCAATTGCCCATTACCTCCAGGAATTTGCATATCTCTAGTGGTAGAAAATAATTCATGTAGAAGGCACATGCGGGGTGAAGGGGCTCAACAGAGAGAGATACGAAGCTCTCCATATATGGCTAGTTCGATGAGTTGCTACTATAGTGGACAACGGCGACGGAAGGAACTCGTCATCAAGTGAGCACTCGGTGACGAAGATTAAGATCATAGCGCTACCAGATGCCACGTACGAATGATTTTCGTTGTAAATCATGCGCGTTCAACTGCTACGATACGATCTTCCAAGCACGAGCCACGTCCTCCTGTTCTACCTCGTTATTCCATCAGAAGATTGCATCGCAGAGAGGTCAGCTGGCGAATATGGACATTTTTTCTTCGATGGTCCATGAAAGTACATTAACCTCATCGCTTTCAGCTGGGTCTCGCTGCACATCAAAGCAATGTCTAGTTGCTAAAAAAAAACTGAACGAATAGAAACCCACATTTACAGTATAATTCAATAACGTAATGCATTAACCAGCGAGGCTTTTTTCAGCGACGTCGTCCCAGTTTCTGTGCAACCCAATGAACGAAGACCGCATGAGATTCATGAGACCAGGAAGCACCCGAAATCGGGGTCACACGACGTCCCGTGTCGTCATAATTATGAATTTAAGATTTCCTACAGCATCTTTGGCTAATATTCCCATTTTAAAGAAGCAATTTAGATATTGAAAGCACTCGGAAAAACTACTTCGAAATCCCAACTAGATTTAACGCAGCGGAATTCGAATGAAGAGTTAGTCAAGAAGTAATGGTTATTAAAAAGCAACGCAACGCGTCTTTTTATTATTTTTACGGACTGTATATGCTCATTATAATCCATAATCTGTACTTTGATTTTCTTTTCCAAATGGCATTTGAAACGAAAATTGTGTCGAGCCAGTAAATTCAATTGAAAAAATAAATCTGAGCGTGCATTTTCACGTTCAACTTTCACTCTTTCATAAACTAAAACAGCTCTCATTCCGCAGATTTTGCTCTCATACACTTCGAGAAATACCGCAATTTGAAGAGTTTTAATCTCTCAGTAAAAAAAATTGTGCGAAAGAAATCAGAGAGGCCTTCCAAAATGTGTGGATTCAAACGTCACCTCGATTCAAATTTACAATTCATTGAAACAAACCTGGGAATTGATTCATATGCATAAGCGGAAAGACTCATTTTCTGTCGGGTCTTTCTCCTGCCGCGCTGTATGGTCATCTCTCGCGACAAAATTCCACGTCAAGTACTGAGCGAAAGAACGGAGGAGAAATGCATTATCGGCTTCCTGTCGCCACTGAAACTATGATTTAAAATCACGGTGCGCAGTTAGCAAACTGTAAAGGCTGGAATGGCCGAGGCATGATGTC